GCTAATTTTTTCTACATATATTTTTAGCTGTCCAATTAATTTCTTTGCATTTTTTGGTAGAGACGGGGTCTCGCTCTTGCTCAGGCTGGTCTCAAACTCCTGAGCTCAGAACAGTCCTCCTGCCTCAGCCTCCCAGAGTGCTAGGATTACAGGCGTGAGCCACCACGCCTGGCCCCTTTTTCATTTCTGATTGAGCTTATTTGGGTCCTTTCTCTTCTATTTCTTGTTAATCTCATGGGATGTCTATCAATTTTGTTTATCTTTTCAAAGAACCAACTTTTGGGAAAATTGGATAGCCATATGCAGAAGATTGAAACAGGATCCATATCTCTCACCACTAACAAAAATTAATTCAAGATGGATAACAGACTTAAATCTAAGACATGAAACCATAAGAATTTTAGAAGAAAATGTTGGGAAAAATCTTCTAGATATTGGCCTAAGCAAAGAATTTATAAAGAAGACCCCAAGGGCAATCACAGCAACAATAAAAATAAATAAATGGGAATTGATTAAATTAAAAAGCTTCTGCAAGGCCAAGGAAAGAATCAACAAAGCAAACAGAAAACCTACAGAATGGGAGAAAATGTTTGCATGCTGTATATCTGATAAAGGGCTAATACCCAGAATCTACAAAGAATTCAAGCAAATCAGCGAGGAAAAAAATCAAACAACCCCATTAAAAAGTGGGCAAAAGACATGGACAGAAGCTTTTCAAAAGATGATAGACCAATGGCCAATAAACATATGAAAAAATGCTCACTGTCACTAATCATCAGAGAAATGCAAATCAAAATCACAATGAGATATCACCTAACCCCAGTGAGAATGGCTTTTATCAAAAAGTCCCAAAACAATAGATGCTGGCATGGATGCAGAGAGAAAGGAACACTTAACACAATGTTGGTGGGACTGCAAACTAGTACAACCTCTATGGAAAATAGTATGGGGATTCCTCAAAGAACTAAAAGTAGACCTACCATTTGATCCAGCAATCCCACTACTGGGTATTTATCCAAAGGAAAGAAATTCATTTTATCAAAAAGACACTTGCACCAGAATGTCTACTGCAGCATAATTCACAATCACAAAGACATGGAATCAACCCAAGTGCCCATCAATTTACGAGTGGATTAATAAAATGTGCTATGTATGTACCATGGAGTACTAATCAACCATAACAAAATGAATTAATACTTTTTGCAATAATCTGGATGGAACTGGAGACCATTCTCCTAAGTGAAGTATCATAAGAATTGAAAAACATACATTCTATGTACTCACAATTAAACTGGAACTAACCAATCAGCACTCATCTGTACAGATGGAAGTAAAACCCAATGGAAATCATGCAGGTGGGGGGGGGAGGGGGGGGTTGGTTGAATTCTTCCTTACCGGTTCCATTTTCCCTTTTTTGGTTGTTGGGCCCCTTTTTGGCTTTGCTTTAGGCTTATATAAACTATCTGTGTAACAAAAACATTTGTATCCCCTTAATATTTTGAAATTAAACAGAAAAAATTTAATCCACTAAAAACCATTACCTTTGGTTACACAGATTCAAATCTTTCTATGTTTAGACTAATCAAGTCTTCAGTGACTTCAGGAACCACTACTACCACTATAGTAGAAGAGCACTATTATCAATTGAGATAATTGGAATTCATTTTTTCTACTCCAGGCAATACAAAATTCAATATAATATGCTTTATCCAAATTGGCTCCTGCTTTCAGAATAATCCAGAAATCAGTCAGCATTGGCTGCCTCTCCAATGTCTGGACCATTATTTAGCATCGTCAAGGCAGCAAATGCACTCACCTGTCATTCTTACCCTGTTTCTTTGACCCAGCACACAAACTTTGAACTGAACCACTTTTAAACAAACTAGTAAATCCACCTTTGCCACTTAACCATCTAGGAATTATTAATAGGTTATGCCTTGTGAAGTTATAACATGCCTAGGTGGCTGAATTTCTATATTTCTTGTGACTTCGAATTGAACAATTTTAACTCTTATAAAAGGAATTCAAATCAATACATTTGAGAGCATTACTGTATATAATTTTTTCATAAGTGTAAACTCTAGTATTAATAATATAGAGCCTAAAATCACAAATCAAAGATCTAGGTTCAAATCCTAGCTCTATAATCTACTAGCTGTGTAACCCTGAACAAACAACCAAGTTCTCTTAGCCTCATTTATTCATCTGTACATCTGGGGCAGTGCCTCTTAGGGTTGTTTTTAATATTAAATAAGAAAACCTATGTAAAGGGATTAGCACAGGGCATGGTATAGATATATAAGTGCTCAATAAGAGATAACTTTCATTATTTATTTTTCTTTCATTTGTAAACTTCATTTGAGGAAATAACTCTTCAACAAGCCCCCACAATACTTTATTAAAAGATGCTTCCTATATTTCAACTAAAATGTTAAGCCTCTTTTTATTCTATTTTTTCATGTGAATGTTGACCTCCTCTTTTGATTTTTTTTCAGTTTTAATGCTATATTAAATTTTCTTTTCAAACTATGAGGCCAATAGGAGCAATAAGCCAGATAACAGAGATGTATAAAGAAAAGCCAGCAATCTCCCCCTTCCCCAGGGTAATGGATACCCACATACTTGTTTATATCCTCCCACACTTCCCTCTATGCTTACACAAACCACAATATGAAGACTCATGTGTACATCTGCAGTCCAGTATATGTCTTTCCACAGTTTTCTTTAAATATCCATATTCATTCATGTGTGTGTTTCCTAGTTGGTACAAAATGTAGTTATATTAGTCATAATAAACTATAAATTTCATCCTTCACTTCAGTGGTCCCCCAATTTTTTGGCACCAGGGACCGGTTTCATGGAAGACAATTTTTCCACAGACACAGGGGGCACCCAGGAGGTGATGTGAGCAATGGGCAGGCAGCTATTCCTTTGCTTGCTCATCTCCTGTTGTGTGCTCCCCCACCAAAGATTCATAGAAGACAATTTTTCCTTTTCCACGGATGGGGAGGGGGCAGAGAAGCAGCAGAGCTCTGCAACCTGGTCCCTAATAGGCCACAGACGGACAGATACCAGTACACAGCCCAGGCACTGGGGACAACAGCTTTACTTAACAAAAATATTTGAATATCCTTTGGGTCAAAAGTTACAGCAGCTAACTATTCTTTCTAATAACTACATAATAATTCATAGCATGAATAAAGCATCATTTATCGAAGTATTACACTACTCAAGGATATTCAGATTGCTTTCAATTTTTCTTTTTGCCCCTATAATCCATCCAGCAATAAACATCATTGTTCAAGCATCCTTACATATTGGTGCTTTTATTTTTATGTGACAGACGCTAAAAAATGAGATTTAGCATTTTTCCTAAGTACTATTCTATTAAATAAACGCTTTATATTTATTATCCCATTTAATCTTGCCACAACCTGATGAGGTACAATTATTACTGCTATTTTTAAGTATAATGAAATTTAGGTAAATAACTTTCCAAGGTCACTAGTTAGTAAGCGGTGGATAAGAGATTTCAACCCAAACAGTCCAGCCTCCAAGCACTTGCTCTTACATCACCCTTACCCAAAAATTGCCAAATTTCTTTCCATAGAGTTTGCATCTGCTTACAGGTTTTCCATCATAGTTTCTACAAACCACCCAAACATTTCCGTTGTACAACACAGAACACTTTAATGATGGGACATGGACAGCAGGCAAGGCGTTTCCTTGGGTGCGCAAATTCTATCTTGTTTGTTTCCAAACACAATTGAGTATGTTCCCTATAGTTTGACAAGCTTTTACAGTGTGGAATCTGGTGACCTCAAAGACTCTCTGACTTACAGCAGTTGGGATCAAGAAATGAGTATGTATAGTCACTAAATGGAATGCAGGGTACTGCATTAGGACAGGGTGTCTCTGCTAACAGCTTCCAGATTTACACTTCAGGAAAGCAGATGTCATGAATTTGCCATTCGTAGCTTATGTTGTCAAAATTCTTACCCAAAAAGTCTCTTGGCTTTTAATCTTCACAAAATGAAGTCATTTTTCCTCCCCTTCTCAAAACCAAAATTCTCCAGACTGATTACAATTATAATGGCATCTATTGTTTTTGTGTTTCTTATTAATTTTATTTATTTTTCCCAGAAGTGTTTCAATCTGTAATAGAGTCCTGGGGACTTGAGCAAATGATGTAGTTTTTATTAATGAACCAAATTAAACTAAGCAATCTGTAATTGTTTTTCCTTTGGAAGAGGACAACTTAAAGGTATTATATTGCATTTTGGCTTCTATGGTAAGATAGGAATATGAAATGATAAATGGTAAATACTGTTCTGAGGTTAGCATCATATTTTAGGACAGAAACAGAGACACAATGGGATGATCACAGAACCCTGGGAAATAATTGACTGCATTTCATAGGGAGTGTGTGGGTGGTAGTTTGGCAAAGAAGGAGTACCAAGATTACGCCTCAAGAAATGCAACTGGAGATGCCCAGTGTTAAAGATCTTCATACTGATAATAATACTTTGGACCTGCAGAAACATTACTCATCTAGCAACTTCTGTGGATGACCTAATGTTCAGCTGGCACCACTACCGCTCTGGTAGCAAGATGGAGTTATGCAAGGGTCTTCAGGGAAAACAAACTGAGATGATTTGCACTGAAAACCTCTTCCCTTGAGCAAAAACTATGTCAACTGTAAAATGAACTACTGAAGAAACAACAGAAAGAGGTGGAGATGGAGTGCAGTGCTGTGCTGGAATTACTTGGCTGCCACGGAAGCTGCCAGCATGTAAAATTGCCTCCATAGTTGTGAGTCTTGGAAACTTTGAGTGGTATCATAAAATCAGGCTGGTGAAGAAGGTCAGCTTTGGACAAGAGTAAACAGTGGCGAGAAATAGCTTAAGTTTGTGGATTTTGAGCTTAAAATTTCTAAAATTTGTAAATGTTAACATATTCCACATTAACTCATTTCACACACACCTTCCCTGCTGGGCGGTTAAGTACGGAAAATAGGAATGGACCCATTTTAAGTTGGAGGGAACACACTCAGACAAGATATTGTAACTTGTCCGGGGCCTTCATATTTCACTGGCTTGCCAGCACACCATGCTTCTCATGATGTGAATGAAGGAGGCAACGTCAGGGTCAGACTACAGAGTCCAGCAAAATCCCTTCTCTATAGGAGCAAAGGAGCTCTCCCTAAATCCGCTGATTACTTAGAACCACACAGTAGCTCAGAAACTGCGGGCCCACCGTGATGAGGGTTAACTTGGGAGCAGCAGAATGGGAATGTATGAACGCCCCGCGGTCGCTGCGGTGAGCTGCAGGGTGGTTGCAGGACTGACCGATTGGCCGGGGCGGTGGGGAGCAGAGCCGCTAGCCATGGGGCGCTGCCGACCCCGCAGGCGTCCACCTGCGCAGCTCGCGCTTGCCCGCTGCCTTCCATCAGTGCGCCGCGCTCCGGGCTGCGCGCCCCGCTCGCCCCTCGCCCGCTCGCCCCAGGCCGTGGACACTCACTCACGGTCCGGGACACCTTCAATTCCTGGTTGAGCCACTGGCATAGGAGCTCCGACATGGTTCGGCCAGCGCCTCAGACCTCACGCAGGTGCTCGCGTCCTCCTGTTGCTAAGGGCAACCCGTTGCTAAGGAAGCGTATCCTGGGCAGAACTGGGTGAAAGGCGCAGTGAAGAGAGACGCCAGACCTCAGCCGCAGAGGACAGAAAATCGTGGCCTGCCCTCTGCCGGCGGGTAAGACCTGAGCGTGCGCAAGCGCAGGGGGCTCCCAAGGGCGGGCCGCGGGCCCGGCTTTAGAGAAGTTAGCGAAGAGCTTGGCGGGGAAGCCTTATGGACCCAACAGTGGGTGCTTAGATGAGCAGAAAGATAAAGAGAGCCTTTTTTCTTTTATTGATACATAATGTTTTACACCTTTATAAGGTACATGTGAATATTTTTTTACATGTATAGAATGTATAATGATCAAATTAGGGTATTTGGGGTATCCATCGTCTTGAGTATTTTTCGTTTCTATGTGTTGGTGACATTTCAAGTCCTCTCTTACAGCTATTTGAAATATACAATAGATCACCCTCGTCTGCTGTTGAACATTAGAACTTATTTCTTCTATCTAATTAAGTTTACACCCATTCACCAACCTACCTTCATTTCCCTCTCCACCCACACACTTCTCCCCGCTTCTGGAATCTATCATTCTACTGTGTCCACAAGATCACGTTTTTAAGCCCCTACATATGAGTAAGAATAGGAGTATTTGTCTTTCTGTGGCTGGGTTATTCCACTTAACATAATGACCTCCAGGTCCATAAATGTTGTTGCAAATGACAGGATTTTGTTCTTTTTTATGGCCAAATAGTATGCCATTGTGTACATACACCACATTTCTTTACCCAGTGGGCCGTTGATGGACACTTAGGTTGATTCTTTGCTAATGTGAATAGTCCTACAGTAAACATGCAAGCACAGTTATCCATTTGCTATACTGATTTCTAGATACCCAGTAGTGGGGTTGCTAGATTGGTAGTTCTATTTTCGGTTTTTTTGAGAAATCTCCATACTCTTTTCCATAGTGGTTGTACTAATTTACATTCCCACCAATAGTGTATAAGAGTTCCCTTTTCTCCACATGCTTACCAGCATCTGTTATTTTTT